CACAGCTGAAGCCCATGCTATTCTTGCCTCTCCATTCTGGTCATGTGGATTTCTCTTCCAGTCAAGTTAAGATCACAAGTGCCTGGTTAAATACTCTACAAACCAGTGACTGCCACCGGTGCTGGCTGGCAGGTTCCTGTGCAACCCACTATGAGTTAGCATCAGGAGTGACCTCCTTCCACTGGTCCTTAAGCCTGGTTGTGCATGTGGGGTACTTCCAGTGCTCTTCACAGTCTCTTGACTGTTCCCCAAGACTGATCCAGGTTTTGGGTAGCTCAAAAAGTTCCCTATGGCCTAGATTGCCTACCTTCCTGGTGGGAATGTGTATTGTGGGGTACTCCCCCTCTCATGTATGGAGGGATTGATTCACAGTTTTCCATGTGGGCTGCTGTCTGTCTTGTTTTTAGCAGTATCCAACGTTTTCTTTCACTTTATGTTGAACAATCATGTTTCTTCCTGGATACAAGTTCACAGTGTGAATCTCTACACACAACTTGCTATTTCCAAGTGGGTAAGGATGCCGGCAAATCCATCTATTCTAGTAGCTTAGAAAAAAAGTACTCATCTCTATTTTATTAATGAGAGAACTGAAGTGCATATGTGTTTATATAACCTATAAGCTCAATATGAATTTTGGGAAGTCATGCTGCCATGGGCAACACAACTTATCTAACACTTTAGCCTAGTCTTCATTATGCCACTCATGATTCTGTCTGATTTCTGCCAGGAAAGTTAATGCTGAATCTTTTCTGAAGATGTTCTGCACTACCAAGAAGAAATAACCCCAAGTAAAGTAAATATACTAGTGTTCTTCCTGAGAACACTCAACCAGGTTTCCATAGGCAGTTAAATTGTTGTTTCTCTAGATGATTGGAGTGAGAGACTCTGGATATTGTCATGGGTAACTTGTCCCCTGAGATCTTTATGTACGTTCAAATCCTTCCATTATTTTTGGTTTCCAGTCATTGGTCTCTGACATCCCAACATGACTCTATTTAACATATTAGAGGTTCACCCTGTGTGTCTACCTTTTGATGATCATTTATTGATCTCAGTGTAAAAGGTTGCCTATTGTACTAAGTGGCCTTATTTCACACTGGTATATTACTCTGAGCCTGCAACAATGGCCAGAGGTAAAACGCCAAGCTAAAAATGTTCATTGTGGGTATGATGATCTTTGCTTAGAGCTCTTTAGCACTTTACAGAGTGTATTTAGAGACTTCTGTTTTTCCTCACAGCAGCAGCCCTGTGTGACAAGTTGGAGAATATTTTTAAATCCCCATCTAATCATTACTTTTCCTTATATCTCCCTTCCTCTAGAGAACTTCAATATTTGTGACTAGACAGTAAAGAATATTTTCTTTCTTCCTTGAGTAGGACTTGCAATTTGAAGATATCAGCTGAAAGTGTGTCATCTTCCTTGAAGAGCAAGGTAAGTTTCTAGCTCAGTTCTATGATCTTTTTAGGCTGTAGTAATAGAATATACGTTATATAAAAGTTCAAGGGCAAAAATTTTCCTATTGAGTATTCAGAGTCTAGTATCCCAGCTTTTAATATTTTCATGCTATCACGCTGTTTAGCCACAGTCCAGGTATTACAATAATCTCCATTAATTAGGAAAATGGTGGTTTTATTCGAATAATGGAAGATGGTATTATTCCCATGATTTAAAATTCATATGCTTAGAGGGAAACAGACATTGGGGCTTACTGAAGGGTGGAGGGTAGGAGGAGGAGGATCAGAAAAAATGACTAGTCAGTCCAGGTTTAATATCTGGGTGATGAAATAATCTGTAAAACAACCCCCCATGATGCAAGTTTACCTATGTAACAAGCCTGCACATGTATCCCTGAACTTAAAAGAAAAAAAAAACTTTACACACACAAAAATCTGTGTGCTTACAAGAGCACTTAGAAAGTAATGAACACTAAATATTTGTTGAGGCAATGAGTGAACGTATATAAATGAATGTCAGTGAATGATCAGTGAGCACATTATAAAATACATGGTCCATGTTACTGAAGCACAGTCTCATGCCTAACTTTGCACAAGCTATTCAGAGGCTCTTGATGAAAGGTTTTAGACTTTTTAAAATAAGGAATCCACATGATTTACGTCATGACCCATAATATGTGACCGCATGCATGTGTACACACATACATATACACACAGCAAAATTAAAACTTAGTGAAATCCTATTTTTCACCTACAATGCACCTTTACTTTCTATTTTTTATGCTAAATGAGCTAATATATGAAAAATACATAAAAGAGAATCTGCACATAGTAAGCGCTTTGTGTGTTAGAGATCATTCCTAGCAAAAGCCATTATATTTAATTCAGTTTATTCATGCTACTGTTTTTATCTTCTGTCTTTCCTTGCCTCAGAGAACTTGGAATCTTTTGACTACTACCTGAGACAGAGCTTTTTCTAATGGTATTTATGCATTATTCACAAATGAATTTCCAATTTTAGACTTATACTCAAGACTGACTATCTCTTCTTTTCCAGATGCAAGGTAAGCTTCTGTGTTCCATATATACATTTAGTAAAATGGGGAATTTGTGCAAAAGCAGTGGGACAGCTATAGATACTATATTATTTCAGAACAGAAGCAGATGCTTTAAATACTTTTTCCTAAAAACATATGCTGAGACTGGAGTACAGAAATGTCAAAACTTCCATTGGTAGTGTATGCAGTGATACTTGTAAAATATCATACTGCTTCCCTAAAGAAGATGAAAAAAGTAATATAGATGATGCGCTGATTAAGTAGGTACTAATTTCATCTTATTCACTAGCAGGCTTCTGCTGGAAGTGAAACAAACAAAAATAACAGAAGTGTGAATTGACAGCTCTCCAAACCACAAAAAGAACTAAATAAATTAGCAAGATGCAAACAGAATTGTATCCTTCCCCTCATAATCTCATCCTATGACTAGCACATCTATGCTCATTGTGAAGTAGCCAATTGCACAGATTTTAACTAGGTTGGAACTCAGTTTCAATTGTGAATCTTGAATATTCTCCACACTAGTTGTATAATTGTAGAATATCACATAACTTTTCGAATATCCAATTCTTGTAATGGTAAAATAGTAATAATAATAATAATGCTTATCACACACAAACACACACATATCAACATTTATATAAAAAGTTCTTAACATCAGTTGCAGAACGTAGTATATTCTAAAAGTGGTTATGTGAGTTCAGTTTGGCAAAAATAATGCTTTTATGGGCTAAACTTATGCAGTGTGGAAAGACAGTAGGCAATAGTAATTAGCAGATGAATAGTAGTTAGAGGATGAATGCCCTTTCTAATTCAAAACACTGTCCATATGCAAGAACTGATCTAAATAATAATTTTACAATCTGCAACTTGCCACCAAAACAGATCTGCAGACTAACGGAAATCCTCAAATGATGCATTTTCGAACTATAAGGATCTGTACTAACTAAGAAATGACAAAAATAAAAGAAAAGAATGAGTTTAAGGAAAGGAGATTCATGCCTATAATCCTAGCACTTTAGGAGGCTGAGGTGGGCGGATCACGAGGTCAGGAAATTGGCACTATCCTGGCTAACATGGTGAAACCCCATCTCTACTAAACATACAAAAAAATTAGCCGGCATGGTGGCACATGCCTGTTAGTCCCAGCTACTTTGGAGACTGAGGCAGGAGAACTTGCTTGAACCCAGGAGGCAGAGGTTGCAATGATCTGAGATCACGCCACTGCACTCCAGCCTGGATGACAGAGTGAGACCATCAGAAAAGAAAGAAAAACAAAACGAGATGCTGTGAAATCAAGCTAAAATGTAAGTTTCAAGGAGGAAATTATACAAAAGAATGGTTCACATGGAATCACTAGAGAAGCCAATTAAGTCAGAATGAGAATTATTGGAAGACACAGAAAATCTCAGTAGCCCTAGTATGTGAGGAAAGACAAATTTGAACAGGGGCTACAAGACTTCAAAATTTACTCACACACAAAGCCCTGCCATCCTCCTTTGTGAAACTAACAAAGATCATCGATTCCATCCTAATAATAATATTATAGCTATCTCTCATCAGAATGTGTTGAACATTTAACATTTTGTTCATTGTTTTAAAGTGTATTATTTCACTGAATTTTCAAAATAATGCCTTGAGGTAGGTCTCGTTAATATTTTCATTATGCAGATTAAATAAATCAGGTTTGGGGAAGTTAGTTTGGGATCAATGTCGCCTAGGTAGTAAATGGTAGGACTGATAGGCACAACTTCCTAATCCCAAGCTCTGTATCTGATGCTGCCTTTCCCTCAGAATTGTCTTTGCTGGTTGTACATTTATCTACTTCTCCAGTTGTCCTGAGACCCTTAATGTGCATTTACCTCTCAGTTACCTCACTGTAAACCTGCCTAAGTTTGCACCAACAAAGACAATGAGTAATTATAAATTGCTTCACATTCAATTTGCTTTAGTTTCAATTTAGATCATTGAACTTGAGAACAAATCTCCTGGGCCCAAAGAGAGGCTTGACTATTAATATTTGTGTATATACAAATAAATGACTTAATCTTGTGAGCCTCATAATTTAAATAAATGTAATAACTAATCAACTGCATTATATTGTTGAGGGGAATCGATAAATATACGTACAAATTGCCTAGAACAGTTCCCAGTATGTGAGCAACATAAATATATAAGTTTTACTAGATTAGGGAAAACTAAATTGGCAGAAAAAATAATTGCAGATGAGTCATCTTGGACACATCATTAATTAAATACACTACACATCAGTTTATAAATTTATAAAATGGAAATATTGGGATATTATTTATAAAGATCCCCTGGATTCAACAGATTGTAACTCTGTAGATAATGCACTAAATATTGTTGTGAAATTTATGCTTTAGATCTATAGAATTTTGAAGTACAAATCATTGCTATAATTACATAATGAACATAGTATTTATACATTTCTAAATCTCTTTTTTGTTTATTACTCCATTCCTTTATTTCTCATTACTACAGGACATCTTGTGATTTCCAGATAATACTGATGGAGAATTGTACAGAAGTTACAAAGTTCATTCTTGTAGGACTAACTGATGCCCCAGAACTACAGGTCCCTCTCTTTATCTTGTTTACCCTCATCTACCTCCTCACTCTGTGTGGGAACCTGGGGATGATGCTGCTGATCCTGCTGGAGTCTTGTCTCCACACTCCCATGTACTTCTTTCTCAGTAACCTGGCTCTGGTGGACTTTGGATACTCCTCAGCTGTCACTCCCAAGGTCATGGCTGAGTTCCTTACAGGGGACAAGGTCATCTCCTACAATGCATGTGCTGTTCAGATGTTCTTCTTTGTAGCCTTGGCCACTGTGGAAAATTACTTATTGGCCTCAATGGCCTATGACCGCTATGCAGCAGTGTGCAAACCCCTACACTACGCCACCACCATGACAGCCAGTGTATGTGCTTGTCTGGCCCTAGGCTCTTATGTCTGTGGCTTCCTAAATGCCTCATTCCACATTGGGGACATAGTCGGTCTCTCTTTCTGTAAGTCCAATCTGGTACATCACTTTTTCTGTGATGTTCCAGCAGTCATGGCTCTGTCTCGCTCTGATAAACACATTAGTGAGGTGATTCTGGTTTTTATGTCAAGCTTTAATATCTTTTTTGCTCTTTTAGTTATCTTGATCTCCTATCTGTTCATATTCATCACCGTCTTGAAGATGCATTCAGCTAAGGGACACCAAAAAGCATTGTCTACCTGTGCCTCTCACCTCACTGCAATCTCCATCTTCTATGGGACAGTCATCTTCATGTATTTGCAGCCCAGCTCCAGCCACTCCATGGATGCAGACAAAATGGCATCTGTGTTCTATGCTGTGATCATCCCCATGTTGAACCCTGTGGTTTATAGCCTGAGGAACAAAGAAGTCAAGAATGCATTCAAGAAAGTGTTGAGAAGGCAAAAATTTCTGTAAGCTTGGAATTTTAACATTGCTGTATACATAAAAATGTTTCACTCATCTCAGACCTTCCTCATGCAATAAATTACATTTGAAACACCACAATACATATGTTTATGAGGTGATATTCTTACCTCTTTAGAAAACAATTATTTAATAAAAAGAAAACATTCTCAGAAATGTAACACCTGAATGTGGAAGACTAAAGGGAATTATTAGAATTTTTGGAAGTTGCCAGTCACAACTTACTAATGACATTTGGTTTACTCACTTGTTCCACTTGCATTTTCTCTACCATGTTCCAATGCAAGCATACTTGTTAAAGAGGAACACCAACAAGTCCTCTTGCGGACACATTCTCATCTTGTTTGAGATCTTAGAGAAAGAGCTTTTAACTCTTTCTCATTCAATACAATGCTGGCTGTGGATTTATTATATGTTGCCTTTGTTATGTGAAGTTATAGTCCGTCTATTCCTGATTTGTTGAGGTTTTTATCATGAAGGGATGTTGAATTTTGTCAAATGCTTTTTCTGCATCTATTGAAATAATCATATTTTTATCATTTTTTTTGTTAATGTGATGTATCATATTTATTGATTTGCATATGTTAAGCCATTCCAGCATCTCTGGAAAAAAAATCCCACTTGATCATGGTGAATGATCTTTTTAATGTGCTGTTGAATTTGTATTGCTAGCATTTTGTTGAATATTTTTGCATCTACATTCACCATGGATATTGGCCTGTAGCTTTCTTTCTTTCTGAGTCCTTGTCTGGTCTTGGTTTTAGGGTAATTATCACCTCAGAGCATGAATTTGGAAGTGGTCCATTCTTTTCAATTATTTTCTATAGTTTGTGAACAATTATAAAAAACTTAATTTTTTTTTGGGTAGAATTCAGCAGTGAAGCCATGAGGTCCCGCACTTTTCTTTGATTGGAGACTTTATTACTGATTCAATTTCATTAATCATTGTTGTTCTCTTTAGATATTCTATTTTTAAAATTCATCCTTACTAGGTTTTCTATGTCCAGGAATTTATCTATTTATTCTAGGTTTTCCAATTTGTTGAAATACAATTGTTTACAGCAGTTTCTTATCATCTTTTATATTTCTTTAGTATCAGTTGTTACATCTTCTTTTTCATCTCTGTTTTTATAGATTTACTGATTATTCGGATTTGGTCATTCCACAGTGTACACATATAGTGAAATATAATTTTGTACCCCTTAAATATATACAATTATTGTTTTTCAATTAAAAATAAAATAATAAAAAATAATATATGTCGAGACAAATGAAAACAAAAACACAACATACCAAAGCTGATGGGATGTAGCAAAAACATTACTAAGAAGGAAATTTCTAACAATAAATGACTACATTAAAAGAAGAAAGATTTCAAATAAACAACCTAACTGTACACTTCAAAGAACTAGAACAAATTAAGATAAAAATTAGAAGGAAATAATAAATATGAGAGCAGAAAAAAACTAAAAAATATAAAAACAATAGAAAAATCAGTGAACATAATAGTTTTTTTTGAAAGATAAAATTGGCAAATGCTTAGCTAGACTTATTAAGCAAAAGAGAAATGATTCAAATTTTTTTAAATGAAAGTTGTGAAATTATAACTGATGTCACCAAAGTAAAAAGGATTGTAAGAGACTATTATGAACAATTTTATATCTAGAGACTGGATAACCAAGAAGAAACAAATAAATTCCTGGAATCATAAAACATACCAAGACTGAATCATGAAAAAATACAAAGTCTGGACAGACAAATAATGGGTAAAGAGATTGAATCAGTAATCAGAAATCTCCCCCGAATTAAATCCCAGAACCAGATGACTTCGCTGGTGAAATTTACCAAACATTTTTGAAAAGAGGAATGGCCAATTATTATCACATTCTTCCAAATAACTAAAGAGAAGAGAACACCTTTCAACTAATTTTATGTGACCAGAATTATTCTCATATTCAAAATGAGAAAAAGGTACCATAAGAAATTGAAACTACAGACCATATTTCTGATGACTATAGATAAGACATTCTCAATAGGGGATTGCTTCATGTTAATCCTTCTTAAGCTTTGTGAGCTTTTTCTAAGTGCAGATTTATGAAATTAGTCAAGTTTGGGAAGTCGGTGATCATAATTTTTAAAATATTTCTTCTGAACTTTTTCTTATTTCGCCTCTCATTCATGTACTCTACTGTACTACTGTTGGTATACTTGACAGCATGCAATAGGTCGCAAGTTCTTTTCATTTTACCTTCGGTCTATTTTTCTTTCTTCTCCTCGGACCAGATTATGTTAATTGACATGTCTAGAAATTTATTGATTTGGTCAGACATGGTTCATTTCTACAATACCAGCACTTTGGGAGGCTGAGGCAGATGGATCACTTGAGTGCAGGAGTACAAAACCAGCCTGGGCAACATGGCAAAACTTTAACTCAAAAAAAAGAAAAAAAAAGGATGAAGAAAATGTAGCCAGGTGTGTTGGTGTATGATGCCTGGGTCCCCAGCTACTTGGGAGGCTGAGGCAAGAGGATCACTTAGAGCCAAGAGTTGGAGACCGTAGTGAGCCATGATCATACCACTGTACTACAGCCTGAGTGACAGCCTAAGACTTTGTCTCAAAAAAAAAGTGAAAGAAGGAAGGAAGGAAGGGAGGGAGGGAGGGAAGGTGGGAAGGAAGGAGTTCACTGATTTTTTCCTTCCCTCGTCAAATAATTGTTACAACTCTCTGATGAATTTTTTATTTCACTCATTGTACTTTTCAGTTCCAGAAATTCAATCTGGTTTATTTTAGTAAATTGTATTTTAATTGATATTTACTACATATTAAAATACCATTGTCCTTGTTTTCTTTAGTTCCTTGTCAGTTTTTTTTCCATAATATTTTTGAACCCATTTAAGGCAACTGATTTAAGATTTTTGTCTTCTAGGTATAACATTTGTGCTTCCACAGAACAATTTCTGTTAATTTCTGTTTTCTTGTAAATTGGACATTGTTTCTTGATCCTTCATATGTGTCTTATTTTTGGTTGAAAGTTTGACATTTTAAAAATTATAATATGGTAACTCTGGAAGTCAAATTATCTCCCCTTCACACCCCCTGTTTCATTTGTTGTTCCTTGCTCTAGGTGCAGTTGTTTATTAAGTTTTATTAAAACATTTTAAAGAATGTATTTATTGTCATATGTGGCCTCTGATGTCTCTGTTTCTTTACTTGCGGTCACATAGCAGTTTGACAGATACTTTCTAAAAATGTGATGTGAAGTAACCTTTTTCTTTATTCATCATTCACTTTGTTTCTGTAGATCCTTGACTATTTTCCAGAGTTCAAATCAAGTTGATTGTTCCAGTTTTTGCTTGCTCTTTTAGTGTTTCTATGGAGTAACAGGCCTTTAAATATTCTAATCTATCATTTTTCCTGCCCCTGTCTTACAAGGAACTGGTAATTGGATTTAGAGCCCACCAAATAATTCAGATTAATCTCCATCTCACTATCCTTAATTTGATCATAACTGCAAAGCCTTGCCATATAAAGTTTACAGGTTCCAGGTATTAGAATCTGATATTTTGGAAAATCATTATTCAGCATCCTACAGATTTGTTTCTCACTTATGCTACTACATGTCTATCAGTCAGGTTGTCTGGCTAAGTGAAAAGCTGTATGTGGTCACTCAAAGACACCTGCTGATGAAGTTATCACCATCTGTTGCTGCACCTGCTGGGACATTAAGCCTTTTGATTATCATAGCAGGAGACGAAATAACTGGAGAATAAAGTGTATGCTTCAACCAACATTACAATTCTTTTCATAGTTCATTATCTGTAACTATTACATGTCCTGCCTTACTGGAATGGGACACACACATATAGAAAAGCAAGTGGATTGTTTGTGTACCACTATTTTTGTGACCCATCTACAGACATTTTTATAAATAATAAATAGTAATATTTATCCCATGGGACATCTGATATGTGGTAGAAAGTGTGCTGTGCTCTATAAATATGTTGTGTGATTATCTTCTTGACATTCTTATGAGAATGACAAGATAGTATTTCCTTCTTCCCTACAGAAGAAGTTTGAAAAGGGTGCATTTCTCACTCAAATTTGAAGTGAAGTAACCTTGGTGCACAGAACAAATGTTTAACCATGATACTTGCTTGTGCTAAGGGAGATGTGATAAGTCTGTTTGGGGTGTGGTGTAGGCTCAAAAGCAGCAGTGCAAAGTGATTAATCTGTGCAAAAGCATGAATATGTCTTCTTTGTTGGAAAAGAAAAGCATTCCTGGGCCAGAATTGTGCTGATAAAGTGGATAAGTGTTAAGAAGATTTCTAAGGAGATTTCTCAAGATGTCTTAGAGAAAAATAAAAAATGAAAGTAAAATAAAAATTAAATTTAAAAAACCTTTAAACTATAAAATGATAAAGAAGTGAAACAGTTTTAATCAATGCTAGTGGGTATTCAAAATAGTAGAGTATCTTCAGAAAATATATTGGCAGTTTCTTATTCAGATAAACCTGTGCTTACCATATGACAATTCAATCTGACTTGTCAATATTTATTCAAATGAAATGAAAATTTATGTTCACCTCAGAAATCTTTTTTTTTTCTCTGAGACAGAGTCTCACTCTGTCACCTAGGCTGCAGTGCAGTGGTGCGATCTCGGCTCACTGCAGCCTCCGTCTCCCAGGTTCAAGTGATTTTTCTGCCTCAACCTCCTGACGAACTGGGATGACAGGTGCCTGCCACCATGCTTGGCTAATTTTTGTATTTTTAGTAGATACAGGGCTTCACTGTGTTGGCCAGACTGGTCTCAAACTCCTGACCTCAAGTGATCCACCCACCTTGGCCTCTCAAAGTGCTAGGATTACAGGCATGAGTCAGTGTGCCCGACCCAGAAATCTTTAATGAAAAGTTTAGATCAGCTTTATTTCTAATCACCAAACACCAAAACCAATATAAATGTTACTCAGTTGCACAATGAGAAATACAATCTATAGTATCCACATAATGCAATATTCTATAATAAAAAGGATTTAACTCTGACATAGGCAA